GTAAGGGAGGGGGGGGGGGATTAGACAAAATACAGAGACATGAAAGAGCTTTTATTGTGTTTGGTTTTGCTTTAAGCCATGCTAGCGAACCAGCAATGACGTATTCACTATTTCTGTTCTAGGATTTGTTTTTCACTATTAAAAAACCCAAAACCAAACATTATTTTAAAATGAGCTTCTTGATGAATTTCCAAGCCTCTCAACAAACTTGCTTTTCTCCCTTCAGATGTGGATGTATGATTCTAATATCCCACTTATTTTTTACAGACTTAACAATGTTTTAAGTGGCGTAAAAGGCATACCACACTTTTCAGCTAAAGTGAATGAGTGGCAAGTGAACACATATTTCCACAGAATGTCCAGCTGCTATGTCGTTTCAAAGATACAGAATAGGAAATGTTGTTGTAGTTTTTGTTGTTGTCGCCGCTGTTGTTGTCGTTGTTGTTATTGTTGTTGTTACTGTTGTTGTTGTTGTTGTTGTTGTCGTTGTTGTTGTCGTTGTCGTTGTCGTTGTCGTTGCTGTTGTTGTTGTTGTTCCTGTTACATAATAATTATCATTATGATTATTTGAGTTTTGATTGTTTGTTCTATTATCCTTTGAGTTATTGTAACTGTTATTTCAATGGTTACTATAGTTTATTTGTAATTAAATAATCTATTGCTATTATTCTAATTATAGTTACCCTTCTCACTTTTGTTCTGATTACAATTTTAAGCATTATTAAAATCATGTTCACAACTGTAATTATATGTATCATTTTGTAAATGTAATAAAAATTAAACAACAACAACTAACAAACAACAACCCCCACCATAAAACAGAACAAAAAAACCCACAAAAAAACAAACAAACCCAATAACAATTCCCTCCCCTCAGATAAATAGATTAAAGGAACACATAAAAAAGAAAACGCCATGAAACATCCCCAACTATGGTCACAAATAAAAGAGGGGAAAGAAACACATACGGCTAGGCCAATAGCTGTGAGATTCAACCTATGGCCTGTAACAACCATGTTCCTGGTGTATAGTTTCTAGCTGTGAATTCAAAACCCGTAATTCGAAATAAATATCGTCTCCGGTTTCATTTATCTTGCTTGATATCAGAACCGCGAAGCTCAGCCCGAAGCACCCGCGCCAGAATGGCATAGGGGGGACGATAATAGAAAGGTTCCACCCTCTTCCTCGACTCTCGTCTCCTTTGTTAGTGACAATGCACACCTCCTCTCTGCTCTAACAGCTATCATCGAAATATGCCACTAAAAGCTTCCTCCCTTGACCCTCCTCTATCTGCCTCCTCCTCCTCTCTCTCGTCTCTCTCTC